CTGTTGGGCCTGTTGCTGCTGCTGCTGCGCCGCAAGCGCCTTCTCCTTCGTCTCCTTGGCTTCCCTCTCCTCTTTCTCCTTCGCCAGCTTCTTGCGCTCCCTCTCCCTCTCCTCCCTCTCCTTCGCCGCCGCTAACTGCGCAGCCTTCTCCTTGGCCGCCCTGGCCTCGCGCTCCTCCCGACTCTTCCGTTCGCGCTCCTCACGGTCCCGCCTCTCGGCCTTCCCGCGCTCCTCCTTCTCGCGCTTCTTCCTCTCCCTCTCCGCCTCCTTCTCCTTCTCCTCCGCAACCCTCTTCTTTCTCTCCTCCTCCTTCCTCGCCTTCTCCTCCTCCTGCGCTTTCCTTGCCGCCTCGCGCCTAACGCGCTCCTCCTCTCTCCGCTTCTTCTGCTCCTCCTCCGCAGCCGCCTGCTTCGCCTTCACAGCAGCCTCCTCCGCAGCCTTCTCAGCCGCCCGCTGCGCCTCCTTCTCCTCTTTCGCCTGCTTTTGTTGTCTGTTTCCCCAAAAAAAAACAGGGCGGCAATCAGCACAGCGTCCAGTCATCCACACTCATGTATGTGTCGAGATGGGGAAAGGGGAGGGGATATAACATGACATGCGGGAGAGAGAGAGCAACGCACCGCTTCTTATCCTTCTTCTTCTGGTTCTGCGTCTGCTTCTTCGCCTCCTTCTCGCGCTCGCGCTCGTCCTCATCCTCGAGCTCGCGCAGCAGTTGCAGCTGCCGCTCCTGCGCGACGCGCTCGCGGTAGGCCTGTGGGGGATTGCTGTGGTCAGTATCACATCATTCAATTAAGCCGGAGGGGGAAGTGCCGCTGGCACGAATAACGAGGCACGACGGAGGCAGTATCGCTCGCACGAACAACACAGCAAGAGGGAAGAAGGGGGGAAAATCAAAATCAAAACAAAAACCCACCTGCAAAACGCGCTGCTCGAACATGCGCGCGGCGAAGATGCTGAACATGCGCTTGCCCTCCTCCATTTTTTGCTCCTCCGTCATCACCTGCGAGGCGAAGCGGGCGTTAGCGAGGGATAACAGAGAGACGAGGCGAAAATTCACACACCTCCTCCCCCCCATCATCCTCCTCGTCCTCCTCGTCTCCGCTGTCCCCATCCTCGTCCCTAAAGCAAAAAAGCGCGTGTCAGCTTCGAGTCCATTCCTTCGCCTTATTATAACAAGAAACAAGCCCCCGCTCCTCCTCGCAACCCCCCCCCCCTCGAGGGTCGAGACAAACGCACAAAAAAGAAACGAAACAACGCAAGTCGACTCACCCACTCTCCCCACTCTCCTCCTCCTCCTTCCCCTCGCTCTCGTCCTCCCCCTCCCCGTCCGATGAGCCGTCGCCGTCACCGTCGAGCGAGGACGATGCGGAGTCGTCCTATGAAGCGTCAGCGAGTTATACTTGTTAGGATGTTAGGAAAGAGGAGAGTGAGAGGAAAGGGAAAGAGAGGGCGGGGCGGCGGCGCAGACACGCTCTGACCCGCCCCGCTTTGGATCGAGGTCGACACGGCCAGGCTCGCGTAAACCCAGCTCCGCGTCTGGATCGGGGTGCGCGTGCCCAGGACAAAAATCTTCGCCTCCCCCAAAAGTGTACCAAGGAGAAGAAACACACCTCATCCCCACTAACACCCCCCGCCGCCTCCTCCTCGCGCGCCAGTCTGCGCTCGGCCTGTCAAAATAGGACGTTAGCTCTCAAATATCGCATCGCATCACCGGAAAGTGGAAGAAGCGAAAGAGAAAGAAACAAGAAGGGTGCGCAGACGAGGGTAAGAAAGCAATGAAAGCCCTCCCATCCCCAGCCAAAGAAAGAAGAGGAAGAATAAAATGGGGAGATGCGAGAAAGTAAAAATCGGAAGGGACAAAAGTGGGCGAGGAGAAATCAAAGGCCGGGTCGCATCCAATCCAAGGACGTACGCAGAGTTGAGTCGAGAAAGGAGTCTTGTCGAAAAATCCGCAAACCGCAGAAGAACAAAAAAAAAAAAGTAGAAAGAAGGAAGGAAGGTAGGTAGGAAAGACAGAACGAAAAGGTAAGGAGATGAAAACGAAAAACTCACCAACTGCTCCATCATCTCCAAAAACTTGCGCCCGTCGTTCTTGAGCAGGTCGTCCGCGACGGTTAGGATCGAAGTGGGGCCTGTGGGGCGCGAAATGTTAGCGAGCGTTCGTTCCAGACGGACGTAGAACAGAGTAGAGAGAGACGGGGTAAGGAATATGAGAGGAAGCGGGGAAGAGTAGGAGAGGAATAGGCAGTAGGATGGACGACGCCGACGCCAGCACATATCAGATATCTGATTGCGCATATCAGCGCACACGACCCCGCCTCCCGCCGCCAATCTTAATCGGGCAGACTGGACCCACCCCACGTGGCATCACAGACAGGCACACGGACACGAGATGAGATAGCGGATTGGATTGGGTGACGAGGCGACGGCGGCAGGCACGTGCACGTGATGATGCGAGGTGTAAAGACAACGAGGGAAGGCAAAGGAGGAGGGAGGGGACGAGGTCAAACGTAAGGAAATGGAAAGGATGTAGAAGGAACAAGAAAGGAAGAGTAGAGGAAACAAAAAGCGCCAGAGAACGGGAAACCCAAGAACACGAAAAAAAGAAAGAAAAGACACTCACCCCCAACGCCCGCCCCCACCCCCGCCGCGATCTTGCCCTTCATATCCACCGCCCCACCTCTGCCCCCTCCCGCTCCTCCCCTCCCCACACCACCTCTCGCACCCCCCCGTGCGCCCCCACGCACGCCATTAACAGGCGCAGGCGGCGCCAACACCGGTGGCGCCACCCTCGGCCCTCGCTCGCTCAAACTCTCCCCGTCCTCCTCCCCTCCCTCCTCCCCATCCACATCCGGATCCTCCTCTTCATCCTCCTCGTCCTCGTCCCCAGGATCAGGCTCCTCATACACGTCATCCTCCTCGTCGCGGGCGTTCGCACCGAGGTTGGGGTTTGCGTTGGGGTTGCGGGTGGGAGGAACGGGCTTACGCCTCCTGCGCCCGCGCCGGTTTTTTCCTTTGTTGTTCCCGCTATTGGGATTGTTGGGGTTGGGCGAAAGGGAAGCGAGGGACGTAGGCGGTGGGTAGCCTGCGACCACCGCACCATAGCGGTCGACCTCGACGGAACCCGGGAAGGGGCCGGGGCCGGGCGGCGGGGGGAGGGTGCGGTTGGAGGAGAGGTACTGCTGCTGGTAGAGCGCGTACTGCTCGAGGTCCTCGTAGTACGCGTCGTACAGTACCTGCAGCTCGTCCTCGATTGCCGTCCTACAATTTCGATGATATTATCGATCAGCTATCCGCTTGTACCACATCACAAAGAGAGAGAGACACATACCGCTTCCTCCCACAAACCGCACAACTACAACTATGCTTCTGCTCCTCCTTCATCTTGCGGAGGACCGTGTCCTTCTCGACCCTGACCAAATCCCTCCGCTCGTCCTCGGCAAGCGCCAGCCAAAAGTCGCGGATGCGCTCGCGCTCCTCGCTGGAACTCGTGCTCCATATCTTGTTGTTGCTGTTGTTCGCCGCAGCGGCGCCGTGTGTTCCCGGGGCCTGCTGGGCAGCCTTGCCCTTGCCGGGCTCGGGCGGCGGGGGCGCGGGCACGGGAGCCTTTGCGGCGGCGCGGGCGCTGCGGGGCGGAGCTGGTGCGGGCTGCTGATAGGCCATGGGCTTTTTGCCGATGGAGACGCTGCTCGGCGGCGGCGGTGGCGGCGGGGGCATCTTGTCTGGCGACGACAACGCTGGAGAGAAAAGGTTAGGTCAGCCATCAATCGGGGTTTCAATTTTATTTATCCCCGAATATTTACCTTCAGATATTATTTCTTTGGCTGCGGTCGATGCTGGGACCAGTGCAGCCGCTGCTTCCCTGACCCTGCTCGCAAACTCGGCGTCCGTCAGTTCGCCTGACCGCAGACGGCGGGGAAGCGCCCGCCAATACGCCGCATCTCCTCCCAGCGCATTCTCGTCCCCCTCATCGCCCTCGTCGTCCCCGTCCCCGCCATCGTCCTCAGACCCGCCTCCAAGTGAGCGGTACAGCTCCTTTGCCGTCGCAAGCAGCTCGTTCGTCGCAGCCAGCGCCGCAGCCGTCAATCCCCCGTCTCCGTCTCCGTCTCCGTCCCCGTCCCCCGCCTTTCCTTTAAACTTCTGCATCAAGCTCTCCTTCCGGCGTCCATCCTCGCCCACCCCGTTGACCTGACCCGCGTTTTGCTGATTCCCGCCATTCCGCTGCTGTTGCCGCTTCTTCCCCATCGTGCGTGCGTGCGTGCAGTGGTGCCTTTTGCTTCTTCTCCGTTAACTAGTCTTGCTACGGCTCGTCGCCGGTCGCCGGCTAGCTGGATAGAGTCGACTGAGCCTCAGTGTGGAACAGTAGCGTACCCACACACACCTATGTATCCCTCCTTCGCCCTTCCTTTGCCCTATTTGCCGTGAAGCCTCCGATGAAATGCCACCGAACGAGCGCGCCTGTGAGCGCGGTGCCTTGGACGAGACCACCACGGGAGTTTGAGCGTTTGACGATGACAGCAGGAGAGCTGGGCAGAGAGCACGAGATGAAGTAAGTGTTAACAGTTAGACGCGCCGCCGAACGCGCTCGGCACTCTGAGCTCTGACACCGCCTCGAAATCAACACCGCCAAACTCAGCCACCTATCGCTTATCTTATCTCATCACATCACATCCATATCTTATCGCGCTTAATATCATCGTCTCTGTTTTGTTTCTTGTCGTTCTCATTAGTACTGAGATGCAAATTAAAATGAAAACGCAAGCCAAAGTCGGATCTCGAATGAAACACAGCGAACAAAAAATAACTTATTCTTCCCACCACGACCTGACCCCGAATCGAACGCGGATCTCCTGCTTATGACACTTTCACCACAATCCTAGGTAAAGCAGGTGTGTAACCATACACCACCAGGTCTTCTCCCTCACAAATTCTTTTACCTTCTTACCGTACATAATTGTGGAAAAACCAAAATAAAACGAGAAAAAAACACCATCCAGATTGTATACCTGAACCCCGGATCGAACGGGGATCTGCTGCTTACAATAGTTGTGGTTCAACTCACTCAAAGCAGGCGTGTTACCACTACGCCATTAAGTCTTCTCTCCTCAATTCCTTTCTTTATATTACAGTAGACAACTGTGGAAAGGGAAAACAAGAAAAAATATCTTCCATTCCGTCACGACCTGTCCCCGAATCAAACGATCCCCTGCTTATGAAGCTATCTCAAGGTAAGCAAGTGTGTTACCGCTACACCACCAGGTCTTTTTCCTTCACCTTATTAGCGTACGTGATTGTGGAAAAAACAAACAAGACAAGAAAAGAAAAGAAAAAAAAGTTCTTACTTCCTTCCGATAATAAGACCTGACCCCGTATCGAACGGGGAACCTCCTGCTTACAAAGACCTCTTCTCAGGACTACATGCAGCAGGTGCGTTGCCATTACACCACCAGGTCCTCTTCCTTTGAACCCGTTTCTTTACCTTAGGATCCTCAGTTGTGGAAAAACAAATAAAACTAGAAAAAAGTATCCCACAGCAATAAAATTGAACAAGGGACTACTACTTACTTAAATTTCTGGACATCGGAGCAGTAAAAGCAGATGTGTTACCCTACACTACTAGGCCTTATCCCCCTGCCGAATTCCTTTACCTTCACGTAGACAATAAACCAGGAAGGCAGACAAAAAAAAGAGGAATTGAGATGACCTGACCCCGAATCGAACGAAGATCTCCTGCTTACTTATCGGGAATATTTCACATTCGCTCAAAGGAGGTGTGTGGCCACTACACCACCAGGTCTTCTGACCTTACATTCCTTTCTTTATATTACCGTAGACAAATTGTGGAAAAACAAATAAAACAAGGAGAAAAACATATAACCTGACCCCGAATTGAACAGGGGATCTCCTGCTTACTAATTTATCTACAAACTTGGATGAGTTAAAGCAGGTGTGTTACCACTACACCACCAGGTCTTGTTACCCTGTAAATTCTTTAGCTAATATATTGCCTTGTCAACTTGAAGGTTTACTTTCAAACTACAAGATAGCCAGCCAAACACAAGGAATAAGAAGGAATTTCACCAACTGAGTAAAGCAGGTGTGTTACCACTACATCACCAGGTCTTTCCTGCTGTCCAAATTCCTTTACCTTAAGGTAGCGGACATACAAGTAACATCCTCAGTTAGATATCTTATCGTGATCCCCACTTCGTCTCTTTAGTACTGAGATGCAAAATAAAATGAACATGCAAGCCAAAGTCCGATAATCTCAAATGAAACAAACAGCAAAAAAAGCAAACTTCCACATGACCTGACCACGAATCGAACGTGGATCTTCTGCTTATGAAGTTTTCTCAACCAGAAGGTAAAGCAGGTGTGTAACCATACACCACCAGGTCTTCCCCTTCTCAAATTCCTTTCTTCCCCTTACCTTACCATAGACAATTGTGGAAAAATGAAAATAAATAAAACAGGGACTAAATGCTGCCACTGTTGTATGACCTGACCCCGGATTGAACGGGGGACCCTTGCTTACACATACCTCTTACCCGGGTACATACAGCAGGTGCGTTGCCACTACACCACCAGGTCTTTTCCTCCTCAATTCGTTTCTTTACCTTAGGCTCCACAATTGTGGAAAAACAAATAAAACTAGAAAAAAGTATCTATCCCACAACAATAAAACCTGACCCCGAATCGAACAAGGGGTCTCCTACTAACTTAAATTCCTTGATATCGGAGCAGTAAAGGCAGGTGTGTTACCTCTACTCGTCATCACCGAAAGTAACCGGAAATGGCCTCATAACGACACCAAATTGTAGAATATTTTTATTTTAACTACATGTACATGTTCAATAGAATGTATGGCCGCCCTTTGCCTTGATTATAGCATCGATAATGGTGGGCATGCGCTCGATATACGGATCAATGTCATCACATGTGATTTTCTCCCACACATCTAAAATTGCGTCTCGCAGCTGAGCTTCCGTGGATGGACGGGGCTGGTAGTCGCAGAGGCGAGTCTTGAGGATGTGCCAGACAGGCTCGATGGCATTTGCATCTGGAGAGGTGGGTAGATGAGGGAAAATGGGGACATCATGGTCAGCAAGCCATGTCTGCGTGATCTTCGCACGATGTGATGGTGCGCCGTCCTGTTGAAACTGGAATTTCGGCCAGGAACGCTTCATCTTGGCATGGAAGTCGACGAGGGGACCCTCGAGTACCTGTTTAATGTACCGGCCAGCGTTCATACCCCCACCCTTTCCACCAGGATACTCGAGAATCACGAGAGGCCCTTTTGCACCTTTCATGATTATTCCCCACACCATAAGGTGCACCGGATTTTGCAGCACCACAGGCACGCAGCACTCGTCCAGGAGCTCCTCCCCTGGCTTTCGCGTGACCCAGACTCGGCCTTTTTTGTCGTCAAGGCAGACGTAAGCTTCGTCCGAGTACGCAATATTCTCCCAATCCGCCACTGTCATCTTTTCCTTCCGTTCCTTTGCCCAATTCAAACGTTTCTGTTTGGCAGCGTCGGAGAGGTATGGGACCTTCTTCCCAACACACCTGTGATAGCCCTTCTCGCCAACAATCCGCCGAATTGTGGTTGCGCTGACAGGTGTCGAAATTTCGTTGCCGATATCCTGGAAGGGTTTACGGCGGTTTTCCTGTGCATATTCCACAATCTGGTCCCTCTCAACGCTGGAGAAGAAGCTCGGGCATCCACTCCGAGGGCGATTAGCGGTCGATCCGGTCTCCTGGAACTTGTTCCAAAGGTCGTTTCCCGTGGATGATGCAATGTCGTAATCGCGGCAGGCACAGCTGATATTTCCATGGCTCCTGACTGCACCAATGAACTGATTCTTCAAGGGTGAGTCAAGTTGTTTACGCGTAGGAACCTTGGGCATCTGGTGGTAAGAGGTGGTTGAATTTGTGGCACGTGGTGTGACGCAATGAACTCATTTCCGGTTACTTTCGGTGATGACGAGTACATCACCAGGTCTTATCCCCCTAAGGAATTCCTTTATCTTGTCGTACACGATTTTGAAAAAATGAACTAGGAAGGCAGGTGGGGGAAAAAAAACTGTGAGATATGACCTGACCCCGATGATAAGCCTGGCATTTGAACACCCAAGAAAATTCCAATTTTACGAACATTTGCAATGCATTAGCTATAAGTCAGCCATGTATTTGCCGTCACTCAACAGGAGCTATTGCGAGATCCAAGCAGTTAGCTATGGACTTAACGTGTGTGTGAAGGGTTCTCGAGTCTGATTACACAAAAAGCCGTCTAGGCTTTGCGTTCTTCTGGGTTAGAGGACCAATAACTAAAGGAGTTTCCCAACCATCTCTTAGCAAGATTGGGGATTCACTATGAGGTCTTATCAAGGATGCATCCATTATCCATCTGGTAGACAATTAATTGATCACAGAGGATCGTTTAGAGGCACATACCAAGGGAAGGTCAGACTCTGACCGTCCCAAGTTCGAATCCCAAACAAAGCTGAGTAAACCCGGCATGGGAAATACCGAGGCATTACGGATCCGAGGATCAGTTACAGATTGTGCCGAGGTGTCCTAATTAGGCGATACAAGTCACTTGGACCAGGCTTGAATAGTAGCAAAAGCATGTTACCTGGCTGACTGAGGCAGCCATGTGGTCATGAGTCAGGAGGACACAGCTGGGCAGGGGGTTTTCTAATTTTATTCTTATCGAGGGTTTCGTCTCCATCAACAGAGGCAAATTTCTTGATCTCTTCACAAAATATACCCTGTACCCTCTCCTTATCGTCTCTTTTGTCTCCATTTGTACGAATCATGTCGGGGCTTATTAACCGCCGACTTCTGTTTATCCGTTTGACTAACAGTATATTTATGTTTGTATTTCCTTATTAGAGTTCTTAGAAAACATATATAAGGATGTACATTTCGTGTGGTACTCCAGAGTGGACCCCTACCCTTTCTCTACTAGACCTTGGCTATTGCTTGGTGTCGCCTTAGAAAGACTGGTATCCATTAGGAGCACCTCTAGAAGCTATTAGTTTCTTTTGTTGTTCCAGTTACAATACAAAGTTTGGGATTTCGACGTGTGAACTATAAGGGAATCATATATGGAACACGTGGATATACGGATTTTGGGCACAGCCATTCAGGGACATTGTTTTGACAAGAAGTCATACTATTACCTAAAATGTGTTGTGACTGGAAAAACGAAACATAACTCAGTAGTATATCGCATCAGCAACCTAGGAGAATCCAAAAACAATACAATCTTGTGTTAAAACACTTTCCGAACCTCTCAGGACGCAAAAAGCGACTAAGACAGTTCAGACAATTTTCAACGGTCCTTTAGCTATAAAGTCTGCTTCAAAGAAAACAAGTTAAATTGCAGCAACCATATACTGTGGTTGGAACCCCAAACCTCGCACGTAGATTGTATTGTTATTGTGTTTTGGTGTGGTTTTGGAGTTTGCACTAGAGCCATATTCATTTCGCACTTCACGAGCAGCCACATGGTCAGTGTTTCACTGAATTGAACTTCACCAATCTACATAAAGCTGGTGTGTTACCACTACACCATCAGCTCCTCTCCTCTCAAGTTCCTTTCTTTACTTTAGTGTACACAATTGTGGAAAAATAAATAAACAGCTCCCACTATCACGGCTCAAGACTTGACCCCGAATCAAACGGGGACCCTTCTGCTTACCAACTGAGTTGCATCTTAGGTAAAGCAGGTGTGTTACAATACACCGCCAGGTCTTTCCTGCTGTTCAAGTTGCTTGTTGGCGTAGACAATTGAGGAAAAGCAAATAAAACAAGAAAAAAAGAGCAACTAGACCAGGCCATGACCAGACCCCGAGTTGAACAAGGATCTCCTGCTTACAAACTACATACACACAGAGGATCAGTGAAAGCAGGTGTGTTATCACTACACCACCAGGTCTTATTCCCTTCCCAAATTCCTATACCTTAGCATAGACTATTTTGAAAAATAAGGCAGAAAAAAAGAAATGCAGTCAGAATTCAATGACCTGACTTGGAATTGAACCAAAGTCTCCTGCTTGCACATTACAACCTGAAGATCTACAAACAGCAGATCTGTTACCAAGTACTACACCATCAGGTCTTGGTACACTGTAAATTCTTTACTGTATTGTCTTGTCGACTTGAGGTTATACTATTCCAAATCACAAGATAGCCAGCCGGCTATTCAGCACTTCTAATATCTACAAGGGAAATAATCTTCACAAATCAACTAAAAAGATGTTCACCAATCAAGTAAGCAGCTTGGAGGAAACCGCCAAAAAGAAAAACAACACTTCAAGCAACTATTACTTGACCCGAAATGAACAAGAAACCCCTGCTTACCAAATTGAGTAAACAAGAACATAAGCAGGTGTATTACCCTACACCATCAGGTCCTGTTACACAGTGAATTCTCTGACTGATATATTACCAGGCTTTATTCCAATTCACAAGAACTCAGCACTTCCAATGTCTAGAACAAACACACTAATCAACTCAAAAGATTTTCACCAACCAATGAATAAAAATCACAGGGAGAAAGGAAAAAGAAGGAAGGAAGAAAAGGGGAAGATTTTGAGCACCTATGACCTGACTCCGAAATTGAACGGGGATCTCCTGCTTACCAATACAGATGAAAGCTTGTAACAGACAGCAGACATCAATCCAGCCGGTATGTTAACACCACACCACCAGGTCATTCCTTGTATTCAACTTCTTAAACTCATGGACACCTCTATCAAATTTCCTTCAACAACAAGAACAACAAAAGCTAATCCTCACAGATCAACTAAAAACATTTTCACCAACCAAGTACCTTGGAGAACATTGCCGAAAGAAAAGAAAAAAAATGCTGGATAAGCAATGACCTGACCCTGAATTGAACGAGGATCTCCTGCTTACAAATTGCATGGTCAAAAGCAACAAGCAGCAGGCAAATTGACACTACACCCTCTGACAGCTAACTGCAAAATACTAGACCATTTTGACTCCCGAGAGCTGTGAGGCCAGAACAATCCGGCTGCACGTGCAGCCTGTAGATGTCACCAAATCAATCATATACCCTCTGCGCCTGGTCTATTGGCTGCTGCATTACAGGCGGCAGTGGAGGATAATTTGGAAGATACGGGTAATACTCGCTGTGTCAAAAAGTAACCGGAAATGGGTGTTTAATGGAACCAATCTGTAGTTTTTTATTATTATTTCAAGTACATGTATACATTCAGTAGCGAGTATGGCTGCCATTTGCAGCAATGACCGCATCGACCACGGCTGGCATCCTGTCCACGAAGCGATCAATTTCCGTGACTGTGATTTGATCCCAACATGCCAAAATCGCCTCGCACAGCTGTTGGTATGTGCCTGGGCATGGGTTATATGCTCGGAGCTTGGTCTTGAGAATGTGCCAAGTCGGTTTGATGGGGGAAAGATCGGGAGAGGTGGGTGGGTGGGGGAAGATGGCCATGCCGTGACGCTCGAGCCACGTGCGTGTGACCTTCGCGCGATGTGATGCCGCGCTGTCCTGCTGGAACTTGAAATTTGGACGTTTGGACTTCATTTTCTTGTAG